CCTCTCGGTCGAAGTTGGACTTACCTAGTCGGACTATTTGTCCCAGGTAAACGTACTCGTCAACAACTTCAAGCATAGTGCTCCCAACAACTACCGGCATAGGTGTGACATGGACATTAAACATGATCTTTGTTTTGTCCATGTTCATCTTAAGACCTATGCGTTGGGAGACACCATTGAGGTCATTGAGCATAGTGCTAAGGTCCTCCAGCGATTCTGCCATAAGGACTGTATCGTCGGCAAATCGAAGGTGAGTGATGTACTCGCCATTGATGTTAATACCGTATCCTTTCCAGTCCAGTAGCTTGAAAACGTCTTCCAACGCAGCGGTGAAGAGTTTCGGGGACATAACATCACCCTGTCTTACACCTTTCTGCAGTTGGATAGGTTTCGAACTCTGGTTCCGTACTCGGATAGCCATCGTAGCCCTACTGTACAAACACTTCAGCACTCGATATACCGACAGTCAACTTGGCACCGCTGAAGGGACTGTAGCACCGCCCAAATTTCGACGGAATCAAAGGCTTTCTCATAGTCCACATATGTCAGGCTAAGTGGTAGATTGTACTCTTCGGTCTTCTGTACAATCTGCCGCAGGGTATGTATGTGGTCTATGGTACTGAAGCCTTTTCGGAAACCGGCTTGTTCGGGAGGCTGGAAGTCGTCGAGTCTGCGTGAGAGACGATTCGTAATGACTCTCGAAAATAGCATGTAGACGCGGCTCAGAAGGGAAATCGGTCTGTAGTTCTTTAAGACAGCGTTGTCGCCTTTCTTAAAGAACAAAACCACCGCTCTTCTGCTCCACGCCTCCGGAGTAGTGCCGCCATGGACGATGGAATTGAAGAGCTTCTGAAGGACTTCAAGTAACGGTGTTCCACCCGCTTTCAGAAGCTCCGCTGTAATTCCATTTTCACCCGGGGCCTTGCCGTTTTTAAGGTGTTGGAGAGCCATTCTAATCTCGCTCAGACTGACGTCCGGGATATCATCGGAATAGTGTCGGATAAGACTTGCTCTTGGATCGTTACTCACACTTGAGTGTGGCTCCAACGATGATGTGTACAGCTGCCCATAGAACCTCTCAATTTTTATCTATTTTTATCTTATATATTATTATTTATGTTATTGTAACGCTCCCCCCCTCTGTATAAATAAATATGTATGATATTAAATATATAATATATAATTAATTTAACCCTTTTCAATAAAATTATATATATGTGACCAGGATTAATTAATTTATTTATTTATTAATTTATTTCAATCAACAAGGATCATAGGGTAAAATAACATACATTAACATTTATTCTAATACTAAAATTATAAATCATTACTAATATTAATTATATTAAATGTGTAAGTATTTATAATAATATCGAAAATAAAATAATAATTTAATAATAATAAGATAACATAAATCTATTTCACCGTTACACATACATCATATCCGATTTAATTATATATTAACAAAACCACCAACAAAACTTACCATAATGATATAATACAATATTTTTTTTAAAAAATACAAAGGAAAAGTCTTAAATATATGTAAGTAAAATTAGGTAATAAATTAGTTCATGTACCTGAGGTGCCGGTCCGAGGTAATGGGTACATGGACATGAACCCAGTGCCTCAAAAAAGCACACTCGGGTTTCTCACTAATTACGTTAAGAATGCTGTTGTTTAATAAAATATGTTTTGATCTTTCTAAATGATCTTTCAAAAGGTTTAATAATAGGCCGTTTGTAATATTTTTGGCGTGATCGCCTTAGTTAGGACCCTTATTTACGTTGTGTTTGTTTAGTAACTTTGTTCTTTTAGGTGTCTTTTTTAAGAATGAATATTCACTAGAGCAATTGAAAGCTGTTGGTAGTGCCTTATAAGCTAAGTGAACCCCGTTAATGAAGACAGGGCTCGAGAAAGGTTAAGAACATAAAACGTCCCAATTCCACTTGTATCAGGTTTACTTTATTAATTTATTATTATTTATCCCTTCTCACTTGGAAAAGGCTCACAATATTATTATTATTATTATTATTATTAAGCCTTTATATTACCATGCAATTTACATACATACAAGAAAAAAAAATCCAAATTGTTATTGTTTAAGACATGGCCCCGCTCCGGGTATAGGCCTCCTCCAACTGTTTCCATTTGATCCTATTTTGCGCCTTCAACATCCAATCTCTACCAGCTATTCTTTGGATTTCATCGATCCAGCGATCCTTAGGTCTCCCTTTACTCCTTGTTCCGCTTGGGCCCGTCCATTCGGTGACTCGTTTCGTCCATCTTCCGTCTGTAACCCGGGCTATGTGTCCCGCCCAACTCCACTTAAGCTGTTGTGCGTGTTGTCCTGCGTCTATCAATTTAGTTTTCCTGCGAATATCCTCGCTCTTACGTTTGTCAAGGAGCTTAATGCCTAGGATACTTCGTTCCATAGCGCGCTGGCACGATCGTATTTTATTTTTTTATTTCTTTTGAAAAATCCAAGTTTGTGCTCCATATGACAGACAAGGCAGCAAACAAGAGTCTATTACCTTTTTTTTGAGTTTTAGTGGGAGTTTTGCTTTTAAGATTTCTTTGAAGCTCCAGTATTTCCTCCATGTCATGTTGATACGGCGCTCTAATTCGTCTTCGTGTCTTGACTTCTTGAATGAAATTTGTTTCCCAAGATATACATAGCTGTCCACATACTCTATCGCTGTTTCGTTTACTATTATTGGTCTTTGTATACTGTTTGTAGTAACTTTTGTTTTTAACGTATTCAATTGTAAGCCTATTTTTTTGCTGGCGTTATTTAGTTCTACCATCATTGTTTCCAGCTCCTTCGATGTTTTTGCAAATATGACGATATCATCTGCAAATCTTAGGTTACTTAGGAACTCTGTATCTATTTTAATTCCTTTTCTACTCCAATTTAGCTCTTTCATAATGTCCTGTAACACGGCTATAAATATCTTTGGAGACAACGGATCTCCTTGTTTCACTCCTCTTTTAATGAAAATTTTTGGTCCTAGTCTGTCCAACTTCACCCTGCTTGTACTATTCTTGTATATATCTTTGATTATATTTATGTAAGTTTCTGGAATACCTTGGTGTGATAGCGCTTGCCATATGCTCTCGTGTGAAATTGAATCAAATGCTTTCGCATAATCGATATATGCAAGGTAGAGCGGCTGATTAAATTCTTGATATTTTTCTACTATTTGGTCTAGCGTGTGGATGTGGTCGATAGTAGAGTAGCCCGACCGGAATCCAGCTTGCTCTACTGGTTGGTTTGTTTCTATTCTTAATGCTATTCTTTTTTCCAGACACATTGCAAATAATTTGTACATTGTTGGCAACAGTCTGATAGGTCGATAGTTATTAATGTCTGAAGCATCTCCCTTTTTATATAATAAAATTATTCGAGATTCTCCCCAGTTTTTAGGGATTTTTTGGACTTCTAGTATTTTATTAAACAGAATCGTGATTGAACCTATTAGAGTTTTCTTTCCAATTTTTAAGGCTTCATTAGGAATGTTATCAGGACCTGGGCTTTTTTCTTTTTTTTAATTTTTCTATTTTTTTCCAATATATCTCTGCAGTCAAAAGGCGCGATGGGTGTATTTAATTGTATTTGATATTTTTTGTGGTCATTTTCTTCGCTTCGTTCATCCTGGTAGAGATTTCTGTAAAAGTCCGTAGCAATATTTATTATGTCTTTTCGCGTTTGTAATTTACCTGTAGCATTCTGTGCTTTCAATGTCGGTATCCATTTGCGCTCAGTGTTTAGTTGTTTATAGGCTTTCCTTTGGCTTCCGGTGGTGGTCAGGTTCTTTTCGATAATTTCCATTCTGTAGTTTTCGTAGTCTTTTTTTAACATTTTATTTGTAATTTTATAGAGAACTGTAAGTTCTTTTTTCTCCTCTTTGTTTTTACATGGTTTTGATTGCAGTGCAATACGTTTTTTAAGTTGTTGTTTAGTTTCAATAGTTAGAATATCTTTGCTTGTTTTCTTTGAGGTGGCAGCATTTAGGCTTTGTTTTATGGCTGTCTCTATCTTAAGATTGAAGAACTCTATGTCGTCGCAACTTTCCCATTCTGTTTGTTGCATTTTTTCCTCTAAAGTCTTGAGGTATACTTGTTGACTCTTGTCGCACGACAGACTAGCTCGAGTTTCAGTAAAAGTTGCTCTACTTTTTTTAAGTTTTTTCAGTTGTACTGTACCTCGCAGTAGTCTGTGGTCGCTTGAAAATGTATTATTATTTAAAATTTCTATGTTTGTGAAAAGTTTTGGAGAGTTGCTCAAAATATAATCGATTTGGTTTTTATGATGCTTGTCTGGTGTAGTCCATGTCCATAAAGTTTTAATTTTTTTCTTAAATATTGTGTTAATTATAGTGAATTTGTTTTTTAATGCGTATTGTAGTAGTTTGTCTCCTCTGTCGTTCCTCGTTCCAAAGCAGTATGGCCCCATAATTATGTTTTCCATGGGTTTTCTTTTTCCTATTTTAGCGTTTAAGTCTCCCATTAAAATCATTTTTCCGTTTGCTAGTTTTTGAGCTTTTTCGATTTGATCGTAAAAAAGATCTATTTCCTCTTCCGGTGCTTCAGAGGTGGGGGCGTACACCTGTATTATTGAAATTGATATTTTGTAGAATTTCATATTTAGGAGGCAAACTCTATCTGATATACCTACGTAGTTCTCTATGTTGTTTTTATATTTCTTTTTTTATTAAAAAACCTACACCATATTGCCCTTGTATATCTCCTGTATAACAAAAAATATGATTTTCGTCCTCGATAATTTCATTTCCTTTTCTTCTGATTTCCGATAGTCCTACGATATCATGTTTAATTTTTGATAATGAATATTTTAATAGTATCATTCTTTGTGGCGATAGTAATGATTTAACATTGTATGTGCAGATATAGAGTGGTTGACAAGTTGGAGGGTTGTAGTCGTCCTCTCCCGCGGTGACTAGCCGTGTTGGGAGATGGGGAGGGGCCGGTATTGGTTGTTATTGTGTGGTTCTTGGATCATGAGGATGCGAAGTGAATTTTTTGGAGGGAAATTGCAAAGTTGTTTTTTTTAACAGGAAGTTATCCATGCTGTTTGTTTTATTGATCTTTATAGGTTGCTTGTCTTTATTATTTTCACAGTCGGATTGCGATGTTTCCGGTGACTCTGACAAAACTCTTTTCTTTTTATCCATAATTTGCTTCTCGGCTTGCTGGTTTCGGTTCTTTAGTATTACGATTTTGTCATATTTAATAATCGCTAATTTACCTTGTTCTCTTTCTTTGTTGACTTCCATTTGAAGTTCCTTTCGCTTGCTTAGTATTTCGGGAGGAAAATCTTCTTTAATATAGTAGGGTGTAGGTATTAGTTTCTTTTTGTTTTTTTGTATTTTTATTTTTAGCCCCATTGTGGTTAATGTTATAACGATGGGTCTGACTTTTTCTCCCTTTTTTCCAAGTCTTCTCACGCATTCAATACCGTTGCTATCGCATTTGATGTTTATTACGTTATTTATTATATCAATAACCTTTTCCTCTAGGTCCCAGTAGCTCTTTTCGTCTTCAGAGACTCCGAATATGAGTAGATTTTTCTTTCTTATGGTCCTCTCCAAATTATTTATTTTTATTGTCTGCGTTTCTAGTTTCTGTTCTAAAAGCTCGTTTTTGGTTTCTAGACATTTAAACTTCTCGTTAATATTGCTGTTAATAGTATTTTTAATATCCTCCTTCATATCCTGCATATCGACTTTTTGTTGTCTTATTTCCTCTTGCATTACTTTTAACATATTTTTTATTTCCTCCATTTTAATAAATAAGCGATATAAATAGTTTATAAACAGAAGTTTTTTGTTGTATTCCTGTTTATATATAATGTCCTCTTGTGGTGAGTAGTGGAAACACTATTTTTATGTTGGATACTACCACGGTGTAGTTGGATCTCTCTCCTTTATGTTCTGCCACTCGTCGGTAGATGTCGCTAAGAGGTTAGTTTGTATGCAAGATGAATAGTAATATTGCAATAGTTAACCTAAAAATATTGATTATGTTTTGCACTTGTTTTTTCAGTTTCGCGCACGTATAAATAAGATGTCTTTAAAAAATTGATAATCTACACTTTCCTGACTTTAATAAGTTCTCGACAATCATTACAATGAAAAAACAAAAGTTGTTCAGCCGTTATGGTTTTTTGCACTTGTTTAGCACTAGTATTTCACTTTCACTCAAATATTTCACTTTGTCCTGGTACTTTGCTACACTTTTTAACGTTCTACGTAAGTTTTGATTTACTTTCACGATTAGAAGTAATTATTTTTCAATTAAAATCACGGAACCGATGTAAGCAGTGGCACGGTGGCGCCCTCCAAGGCTCACAATATATTTATACAAAATACCCGATACAAGGGCTTCGCTCTCCTATATTTATTTAAAAATATGTAGGGGAGGCACACGGCTCCACACACGCCGTGCGCGGTGAGTGCCAACCATTTTGATGCACTCCCCTAGAAGGGAACGCTAATTCGGGAACTGGACCGTAGTCCACAGCAAAATAATTGGCAAACCAGTTAAAGAAGCTCGGCCCCTTGTTAGTGCGTAAGCACAAACATCGACCGAAGTCGCGCATGTCAATGCGTGTAAACGCCATACAGAATACGAACGAATCCAGCCTCAGTGAATGTACGTCACACGGTTTAGGCAATTAGGCACTCTGGCAGTAAACCCTACGTGAGCGTCACCACCTGCCAGACCGCCGCTCCTGCAGACGTGATGTAAGTGTATGGCATCACCACCAATTGCATGATCAGCACGGCTACTAGCCGCAGAGCGTGTCATGAGTCTACCGCTCACCTCAAGGGAATGGGGTCCCACGTTGTGCGGCTTTCGGCCGCAGCCTTGAGAGTCTCCTCAGATCCTCCCGCCAGCTACCACCCGCATACGGTCGACACATATGCTCCACCAACCAATACAACGGCAGATATAGCCAAAAGGCAGTTATAAGATGTTGGTAATAATTTGCCATCAGAAAGGTTTTGTGTCACTGACGTTGAGTAAATGCATTTCGATCATGTTTGTCTCACCCACCAACAAATTGCCTTCAATCATTCAAGGATGGGAAAGTTACAGAGATATATTATTATGTTGTTATATAAAACATCGTGGAAGGCAGACAGGCTGCAGCCCCGTAATGAAGGGACCCGACTTGGACAAAGCTACTCAGGTCTGAGTCAAACCAAGACGTAGAGAGCGCCATTGAGAATAGCGTCCCACCAAACAACCATCGCAGAAACGCAATGCTGCAGAACGACGACGACGAACGACGATGCCCACAAACGGTATGGGTGTGCGATGTCCACGAGAAAGCCGTATTGCTACAACAAACCCGCTTACCACCGGCACAAAGATGATATGTCTAGGACACATCGGTTAGCGAGTCCAAGTTTACCTCGGACCAATTGCTCGTGAAGCAGCATACACGCCACCATAATAATCCTTTTTCAAGTCGCTAATAAGGACTAGTCATTTTGCTACAGTACTTCAAGCAGTCGGGCTCCCGACCACCCCATATATATGTACAACTGCAGGTATGTATCTCCTGCAGCTCCTCCATACAAGACATCTATACATGAACACCTTCCATAACTTAGACAATTTTTAACAAATTTTCTAATTATCTTATAAACGTTATTTATCTTTATTTTTATAATATTTACGACTTGTATTTCTATTGTTTATCATGTTTTAAATATTTTTACAAGTTTTTATAATATTTTAATTATTATGGAAGTCAATATTTTTGCCTTTAATTTACTATGTTATTGGTCTAATGTCTGAAATGTATTTATATTAACTTTATGCTTATTAATGTAATTTTATTGCTTAATATATATATATTTTAAGACAATTTTTGATGCCCCTTTATATTGAATTTAATTATTGATAAATATGATATATGAATAATATTGGACTGCCACATTATGTAGAGCGATCTTTTACATTTAATTATGGGTATCTACATATAATTAATGATATATATGACATAATCTTTTTTAGGTATTAATTAATTATAATAATGAACTTAAACATTTATATATTCAATGTATTGAATAGTAATTACTCTGATATATTTCTATTTCTTGTTTTCTATTTATGTTTTGTGATACTTGCTGAAGACCAATATTTCAAAAAGCCTAGCTCAAAATTCAATAAAGCGTTTTGCTTAACCACATATTAGTATGATGGGTGCAGAAAAGATTTTACACATAAATAAATACTATGGAAAAATAATAAAATGAGATAATATTCAATGAATATTGTCATTCTAAAAGACAATATTAACGTGACCCGTAATTTAACAACCTTTTCCTGGTCGTTTGTGACAAGTTTATTTCTAAGGAGTACAAAAGAATAGAAAGAGTAATGATAAATTTAAATACTTACAATCGCTATATTTTGTTACTTTATGAAATTAAATTTCATATCATATGCTCTCGTTTAAATATATTACGTACCAGCTGGCCAGGCAGACGTTGTTCTGCAATTTCCGACAACTCTTTGTCCTAGGAATAAAAATTCTTAAATTCTTAATAAAATTATATTGAGGGTCACATATGATAAAAACTATCCTGTCACTCAAGTTGCAGTAAGCAATACACATAACCAAAATTTTATTAAAATCGGTTGAGCGGTTTCGGTAGAGTGAACCAATATCGTGACACGGGATTTTTTATAAATAAAATAAGATAAATATACACATTTATTTATCTATTTATTGCAGTTTATTTTACTAAAGGTACAAACGACGGACTTAATGCCATATGGCTGAGCCACTCTGCAGCAATATTATGGTTGCAGAACAAATGGGTCGGCTGGGGCAGGGAAGGAACACACTCTCACAGGATACCATTACTAGCAACCGAAGACCCTTTTTACAGGAAACGAGGCGTTCCAACTTATTCATCAGGATTAACAACGCATCTGCATTTTGATTCTTAATCGAAGATAGATGTAGATGTCAATGGGCTACAGCATCCACTTACCATCAGGTGTGCGCTCGGTTGTTGCCCTTATAGTATAAAAAATGTATTAGTTTTGTCGATAATTTTTTCTCTTCAAGTGTTGTAATACTTGGATGAATTGAACTGTCATCATCATCATCATCATTACAGTCCTTCACAAGTTCACTGCTGAACATAGGCCTCCCCCAAGGAATGACACAAAGCACGGTCCTGAGCCGCCTGCATCGATCGACTTCCTGCATTTCTTGCCAGGTCGTCACTCCACCTAGTGGGGGATCACCCTACACTACACCTACCAATACGAAGCTGCCACTCGAGAACCTTTTTTCCCCATCAGTTGTCGGTTCATTGAGCTATATGGCTGGCCCTATAGGCTATGTTCAGCAGTGAATTTGTGAAGAACTGTAATGATGATGATGATGATGACAGCTCAATTCATCCAAGTATTACAACACTTGAAGAAAAAAATTATCGACAAAACTAATACATTTTTTATACCATATATTCTCCCCGGGCAGAACACCGGCGGGAGATCTCCCCTTTTCCTTCACGGCCACAGCTCTAAGGCGTGAAATAAAAAATTAAAGTGTTGGTGTAAACAATTAATATATATTGTGTACTATAACTAATATTTTTAGGAAATCAAACAAGTTTATGATTAATTTAAAATTTTATTTCAAGCAGTAACCACTTGTAAAAAACCCACACGTCATCACAAGAATAATGTAAAATTTTGTGATTATTTTTTGCAAATATATGAATATTACACACAAAACGTCTGTTTAAATTTATGACATTTACCAAATCATTGTATTTTGGACATTTGTATTCTTCAATATTAAAAATTCCATCATTCGGCGTCAACATTTTTAAAAATTTTTTTCTGCTGAACCACCTTTGTATGCTTATCACTTCATCTTTGCACAAATTTCTAATATACCAATTTAATATGGGAATGATGTTCTCTTGTTTGTAGGCACATTTTAATTCTTCGGTCACGTCAAAATATGGAACGCCGTGCACGTGTGTTTCACAATAACGAACAGTTTTTTTTTGCCTTTTCACGACAAATAATTGAAAGGATAACTTGGCCGAAACAAATAATGATCGATAAACGCATAATTTTTATTAGATAGTTTTACTTCTAGAATAGCCATTTCTCTACATTGAAAATGTTTATGAGTATATGTAATGTAAAATCCGTCCATATCGATGATGTATCTAATATTTTATTATTGTCATTTTGAACCAAAAAGTTAAAAGTATTTACACGTGACTAAAAATATGTTTGTTCCAACAAACTTCACATAACAATGCTTCATTACTTCCCATCATCCCATCTCTTCCTTCTGCTCTTGTCTTCCTGTAATTTAAGTAAACAGAATCACATTCACTAATGATCAACTAATGACTGTCATTGTTAAAAAGGTATTTTTTAACTTTTTCACTTTCTGCTATTGTATTTGTATTCAGTGCTAGGAAATGTCTGCCGCGCTGCCTCATTGCGTGTTGGCGCACTTCACATGCTTTCGAAATTTTCTCAGACGTAAAGGTTTCCTCACGATATTTTCCTTCACCGCCTAGCACGTGGTAAATCAACACTTAAAATTGCAATTAACAATTTAATTGGTGCCGGCGGGTATCGAACCCAGGTAGCGTACTGTGAAATTTACAGCTTGCGCTAACCATCTGAGCTACCACGACTTAATTATATACACACACCATATTTAAATATAATATGTTAACACTAAATGATACACGCATAAGAAAATAACAGAAAGAAAAGTAAG